AGAAGCTTGAACTGTCTCCCTTCTCTCATGGGCTAGAGGGGGAGAATTGTTGGGTCCAACCCATTATGTGACATTGACCCATGTTACAGCCCATATTCCTTCGGCCCATTATTTTTGTCTTCAAAACTAGGGTTATATCTAATCTGTGTAGTGTGTTAAAAACGGAGAGTAAAAAAAAAAAGAGAGAAATTAGAAAAACTATGCTGCAGATTTTTCAACGCGCAGCGTTTACCAAACGGCCGAAACTTTTTAATCCACCGTCCGATCGAGCTGAAACTTGGATAGTAGGTGGACTCATTGTTCCTCATTACGAACGGTTGGATCTTTGATCGAAGTTCTAAATCGTCGGTTATTTGAGGTCAAACAGAAGCAACTCGCAGCTAGTCGGGAAAAGAAAATAGCTCACAGCAGTCTTCATCAAACACTATGATCAAGGGTCATTTGTGGTCCGATTTGGCTGAAATTTGGTGGGCTTGTCCGAAACTTACGGACCTACGATATGAACGGTGGAGATCTGATTTGGAGTACTGGAGTTCTCCATTTTGTGGATTGAACTGTATCCACGTTTGTGAGTTTTTCTGACAGTTTTTTTCATAGCTTTTGGTATTCTTGTGTATATGTTTGAGAATCTGTATTTTCACTAAGTTTGTGAGCATATTGTGGTGTTTGAGTTGCTGTAATTGTTACCTCAAGTTATTAGTGAAGATTTTGGTTGGGTCTCCTTGGCCCCGTGGTTTTTACCCTTCACATTGGAGGGGTTTTCCATGTTAAATATCGTGTGTCTCTCTTTGCTTGGCTTATGATTGTTTTTGGTTGATATCTTGCTTGTGATTGTGCTAGCTGAATATCTACAAGTTTGGTTATTTGGGAGAGAAATAGTTTGTGGATAAACTTGGTTTCTACCCAACAAGAGAAGCATCAATTGGCTCAGTGAAGAGGAAGCGAAGAGAACCCTCATAGGTGGATGCTACGACGAGGGGTTTTTGAGGAATTTGAGTCAAGGGTCGAAATTCTGGGGGGAGATACCCACAAAGATTGAAGGTAGAGGTTTGATGGGTTCGAATCTCAACCGATGGAACATGAAAATTAGAGTCGTGGAGCGATTTTGCATAAACCTCTCTTGACCTATTTTGAGAGATTTTGCATAAACCTCTCTTGACCTATTTTGAGAGATTTTGCATAAACCTCTATTTCCTAATCTAAATTAGTTTTTTATTTCTGTAGATTTTTTATGACATATTTAATGTTGGATGATGAATTAGGGCCTTGGGTTGTTGTTGTAATGCCAGAAATTTGAATTTAACACCTCTTCATATTTGTATCAGAGTACTGCATTAATTCCTGTGGGCTCTCATGATGTTCCCGGTGGTGGTGGTATGGAAGGTGAAGTGGCCCTGCACAAACATTCCATAGCTCCAAACACACTGCATTCACCGCCACAGCTGGTAAGAAGATGACGAACACAGTGAAGTAGATACAAGGTAAGCCGAAGCAGATGCCGAAAAAAAGGAGAAATAGATCACTAATTGTTTTTATTTTGGAAATTTAAAGAAAATTGAAAGGTAAAATAGTCTTTTTATTCTTTTCATTAACAATAATCAATAGTGATGTCCACGGTTCGGTACAGTTTTTGTAAACCGAACTAGTACTATCAATTAACCGGTCTGTTGGTTTCGGTTTTTTATCGGTTCGATTCTTTGATTTTTTGGTTTTTTATATTTATAATATATATTATATAAATATGTGTATAATATTATATTATAAATAATAAATGATATATAATATATTATAAATATTATAAAAATATATATAATTTATTTATAAATAGATTATTATAAATATAATATGTATATACATATACATATACATATACATATACATATACATATATAGTGAATATATACTTATATATAATATATAGAAAATATGTGAAATATATTAAAATATACATACCGGTCGGTTCAGTTAACCGCCAGTTTTTTGTAGGTTGACCAAAAACCAAATCGATCCTTTAGTTTTTCAAAAATACCAAACCAAAACTGAATCAATCAGTTCGATTAACTACATTTTTCGATTTGGTTCGGTTTTTCATAGACACCCCTAATAACCAACGGTTGTCAATGGTAAATTAAAAACTTAGGATACTTTAAGTCAATATGTAAATAATAAGAGTAGCTATAGTCAATTTCTTAAAAAAAAAAGGTAAATTAGAAAGACCCCCTGTACTATAGGGTTTGTGATAAAGACCTTGTACTTTGTTTTGCAACAAAGACCTCCCATATAATATGATGGTGAAACAAAGACCCCCTTCCGTTAGCTTTTCATTCAAAAAGGCCGTTACAATATTTTTTAATCTCCATACTACCCTTATGATGAGAAAAACACTATTCATCTTCCCCGACTCGGATGGGCGGTAATCCCCTCTACCTCATATTCTTCACATTTCTATCTCTCTCCCCCATCTCTCTTCTTCCCCTTCCCCTTAACAGCATTGGGATTGAATCCATTTAATCCAATCCTGTTCCGTTTCACTTACGGAATTCCAATCCGTAAGTGATCGATTCAGATCGATTGAGAGAGAGAGGTTTCGCTATTTAAATTGATTTTGAAGTGATCTTCAAATACCTCAAGCCCCAGCTCGTGATTCCAAAGTCCAACCAATGTTTTTTTTGAAAACAATGCAGTCTCATCCAAAACAATTTTATCCACCGCTGCCTCTCTGGCTGCACCGGTGATGCTCGACCGTTCGATAGTCTACTTCTTACCCTACGAAACTCAAGACTACATCTCCGGCATCCGAAGCCTCCTAGATCGTTTCTCCTCCGAGCTAACCATGGTCATCGAAGAATTCGACGACCTCACTAGCAATGAAATCTATGACGCTGCCGAGATCTACTTGGGCACCAAAGACCAAGGTCAACCCCTCCCCCCGAAGAGTGAAGGTCAAGAAACCTGAGAAGGAGAAGAACTTTACTGTCACCATGGATAGAAACGAAGAGACAGTAGATGTGTTCGATCGTGTAAGATTCAAGTGGAAATTCGTATGTGCGGCAGTGGAGTCCCAGATTTTCAACCACCGGCACCACTTCTTCTTCACATTTCTTGGTCTCTGTTTTGGTTATAGGAGAAACAAAATTTCTACCTGGACGTTAAAAAACAGGGGAAGAATGAAAGGAGCCTCCCTGTCTTAAACAGAATTTCGGTCGAATCGTACGGCTCGTGTTGTAATCCATCATGGAATTGAGTATTCAACGGTAGTTGTTAAGAGATTCCGAAAGGCCGAACAAACGAACGAGAGGAAATGATGTCTATGATCTTTTTCAAGCACATTTGAGCAGTGGAACGACCATGGATGTTATGAGAGATCAACGAGCTTACCTGATTCAAATGCTTGACCAACAAAGACGACGACGCCATTGCTGCTTGAATCCAAGTTTTTCAGCTCCACTTCTCCGTTTCTATGTTAGTCATTCGAGCTCTGCAACGAATGATTTTCACGGATCGCGAGGGATCGAGAAAGTAGGTAGAGAGACGGAGATACAATAGAGAGAAAAAAGGCCATCAAGGATAACCCATCAGACGCATGGAGATTGAGAGATCGGGATTTAATTAAATGGGTTCAATTATAGAAATGTAAAGGAATTTAAGGCCCCTTTGTCGCTGCTGTTAGTGTATCCTGAGGTCGGGAAAGATAATAATATTTTTTTCATCACAAGGGTAGTATGAAGATTAAAAAATATTGTAACAGCTTTTTTGGACGAAAGACTAAAAAAAGGGGGTCTTTATCTCACCCTCGTAATACAGGAGAGGTCTTTATCGCAAAATAAAGTATAGGGATCTCATAATACAGGGGGTTTTTGTAATTTACCCAAAAATAAGAAAATTTTCTATATACTCTGTACTTTAAAGTTGAGTACCAATTTAATACTCAACTTTAAAATGCCACAATTTAGTCAAGTGTCATAGAAAAAGACACAGATGCCCTTAAGTTTCATCTAAATTTTTACTGTTCACCGTTTCATCATCTCCTTCATTCAATGAACACTACTACTGTTCCCCACCATTATCTTAAGACAAAAAATTGAAATAGAGCTAATAGAATCGTCTCTTGCCTTATCGTTTGAATTCAGGTTAAGACATAACCCCGGTGCTCATTAAAAACCAGAACCAAAAACAAATACACCAGAAATACAGACCAATACATCAGAGACACAGAAGAGACATCGCACAAAGCCAGAAGTTCAATATCAAACATCGTGAAACTCATCTGCCTGAGAAAAGGTTCATTAGAAGGGATTTAACTGAGTAAAGGTTCAGTCACCTAGACCATTTGGCAGACAGTTGATTGAACGAGTAGTTCAATAATCTATTCTGATCTGGATTTCAAAACGCCGGCCAAATCTATTCTAACCAGTGGTCGGGACACTGGTTAACTCTTTAATTTTGAGGTCTTAAATCCAAGCCACAGCATATGCTTTAAATATCAATAATGTACAGAGGTTCGTTCAAGCAGATAGAGCACAGAGAAACACGTATGCCTCATTCACTGTGGCAATAGTTGCAACAGATGTCAAACGTGCTATTGAAGTTGGCCTAATGAAGATTCAAGAACGAAACACGTATGCCTCATTCACTGTRGCTATAATTGCAACAGATGGCAAACGTGCTACTGAAGTTGGCCTAATGAAGATTCAAGAACGATCCATAATTAAATTTGCAGAAAAGAAAGTAGCTATTACTGTATAAATGATTCTTYTCTTTCCAGAACACAGGTGACATCCTACCCGGGGATGGAACACCAAAGGATGCCTGTAAGAGTGAATGATCAACGTTTTTTTTTTTGGGAGAAAACGTTCGTGTTGAT